GCATCGCCTCGCGCGAGTCCGAGAGAGAAAGAGAGAGAGACGAGGGAACGTCTCGCTCGCTCGCACGCACGCACGGTCGATCGCTTCTGGCGGCAGCCATTTTGTGCCGCCCGTGGAGCCGGCAATGCCGGCTCGGGGAAATGTTGTCCCGCGAAAGCTTCACGGAAAGCCGCGACGCGACGTCGCCGCCGGAAGTCACGGGCCGGCCCAGCGTCGACGTCGCCTCCTCGTGGACAGACGGAGCTCCTTGGAGAGCGTTTCGGCGCCAGGAACGTTTTCAAGGGCCTCGCGATGAGCTCGGGGTTTTTACCGGACGCGGACAATACTTTCCGAGCCTCGAGGTACTCCCTCCGATGCTCGTCAGGTACAGTCGGCGCTAGAACCCTCGAGGGTCCCTCCACTTCGACGGTCCTTTCCGGAGAATCTTTGAATCTCTTTCGACGCATCCGCGACGATCGTCTCCATTGTGCGAGAACGCCGAAGGAAAGATTTTTAAACCGCAACAAAAGTATGCTCGTGAAGGTATCGAAAAAAAAAAAATCAATCAAAAGCCCGATTCCTTCCAAACGTGATTTATCCCCATTCTCCGATAAAACTAGCACCGTTTCTCGCGATGCGAGGGTTTCCGAAGCATTCGTGGCTCGTAAAAGTCTTCCGGCATGAAACGAAAAATATATAAGGCTCCTTTATCCTCTGCGGTCTCTCTCGCAGCGATCCAGCACCCAGGTTTAATAGCTCCATCCGCTAGCTCTACCGGGGAAAAAAGTCAACCGGTTGAATTCTGTCAAAGTTATTGCCGAAACGTCGGTTTAAGAGATTGGACTCCTCTAAAAGAACAATAAGCAAAAAAACTGAGGAATAAAAAGAGGCCTCCCCGGGACTCGTTGAGTACAGTGGGCGGCAAAATTCATGCTTCCATGTACCCTCGATATCTTCAATGGGCTGACAAGGACAGGATGCAAATTCTTTCATTTTTAAAAAATTCGGGCAGAAAAAAAGAAGAAAATTCCTCGGAACGCCACCCGGTGCCTTCACGGCGTCGAGGAAAATTCATTGCACCGCAGGAGGTCATTGCGAAACTATCTCCACTACCTCCGTGCGCGAATCCTCCGACGAGTCACCGACAGCGTCACCGAAGCGTTTAACCGATGTCAGGGTGCACAAATCGGTCTCGCATCGCGGACTGGCATCGCGGATTGGCATCGCGGCGGCACGCAAGTGCGCCCGACGTCTTTTGGACACGCTCCAGGCCGCTTTTCGAATTAAACGAGGGCCTGGCTGAGGCGAGTGGGGAGGGTGCGCGAGCGAGAGAGAGTCAGGCGGCGCGCCGGCGAGGGACAGAGAGGGAACGAGAAGCGTCGAGGGAAACGGCGTGCTCGCTGAGCGCGACAAAGTAGCGTCCGTCGAGCCTCGGTCGGTACATCTTGCAAACCGGCGCTATTCTCCTCCGGTCTGCCGGTTCATCTCGCGACACGTGGCGACCCTCTCCCACCTCCCGCTGTTCCGACCTACATGGAAAGCAACCTGGACGAATGACGACATTTGGCCGCGCCAAAACTAGCGCCGACAAGTCGCGGAATTAACGTCTGCCGATAACGAACCGTTCCTACGTGTCCGAGAGTCTCGAGGGGCGCGGTGTGTGCCGCGTGAAACCGAGGGCGTATTGCGCAACGAGCAATTGGGGCGTAGCGCGTGAAAGGCCATCCAGGAGTAGATCGATCGGATATTGTTTCACCATTGAGACTTTGCAGCATTTCGGGGGATTTCAAGACTTCGTCTCGAGGATTTCTATGTCGCTTCGGCTGGTTTCGGGAATTCGAGGTGGGGATAATTGAAAGTTTAACGCGATGACGTCAAGGAGGAATCGGGAATTAACTGCCAATTGCGAGATGTATCTATCTCCACGGGCGAAAGGAAATGGAATGCGTATCAATGAAGTTAATTGACTTAGTTTGGATGCACCAGAGGTGTTACCGATTATTCGTTTGTTCCAGGATGAATCAAACTTTCGGGTCGAAAAATAATCGTAAGAGAAGTCCGCAATGGGAGGTTAATTAATCGAGGCATGACGCATCGAGGTGTTGGTGGAAAAAGTCGCGGATTAATTCATGCTTATAGACCTGTATTCTGCAAGCGGGTAAGTAGACCTCGTTAGTCATCCTCTGCCTGGGGATTATTATTTCTCCAGAGACTTTGAGTCTCGTGAATAGTCACTGCAAATTACACGAAATAAGTAACACGAGATTCGCGTGCACCGAACGATATACCGCGTTCGCGCTTAACTCCGGCATTATCGTTGACATTAACTACGACATCGGCACCTGTCGGTGAAGCAACAACGATCGTGTCCGGGGTCGAAGACTGAAATCATAATACCGAGCCGATGCAAATAAAGTGACTCAAATATTTGATCAGTTAACGAATGTATTTTAATTCCTTATTTGTATAGCCGTATCAATAAAATATATTTTAATAATTTTAAGCATTTAATATTTTAATCATTAAAGACCCAAGCTCGGTAGCCACGAAGTGTCGAATAACATTAAAAGTCGTGAAACGTGCGAGGTAATTTGAATTTTTAACCAATACAATGTTTATTAAAAATGCATTATACATCAAAAGATATTAGTTAGTAGCCGATAATGAAGCAATTAGGTTCTGTGTAAACGTCTGCTTCAATAAATATTCCCCGGCCTGCTCATGCAAAACATGAACCATTTAGATTTTATGTGATTGAAAAAAGTCGGTTATACCAACAAGAATCTATCACGACTGAAAAGTTAAATATGAAAAATTGAAGTAAACTTCAACGAGTGAACATCGAGACCAAGGATTCCGTTCTTGAAGGAAATAATTATTTAACAAACCCAGGGTAAAAACATTTTAACGATGCATTTTAATAATACAGATCACAAAGTCATAATATTTTTTTACGTGATAGGTATGATTGAAAATCTCATTTCTATTTTAAATTTCACCCAACTGAATATAATTTCTTCAGCGAGGAATTAATCCCCATTCAAACATTCATCTGGCGAGGTTCCAGTTACTCTACCTCTGCCTCGAAAAATATTGAAAACTTAAGATATCGGTAAAGTCCCTTGGGAAAGGAATCGATATCAAACCCTCGGAGCTCGCTCGTATCAAGTAAAGCTTCCTCGAATTTACTCCCGGCAGATGATCCCATCCTGACGGCTTCAACTTCCGTCCCCAAAATACCTCCGAGAACATTTGTCGACGTCCTGCCATCCCGGCGCGTTTACGCGAATCGGTCCAAAAAGTAGGGCAAACGGGGAAATAAAAGAAGGAAAGCGGAGAGCAATCGGGAATACCGGCAGCGAGGAAGGCGAGAAAACGGAGGATTTTCGTCTCTCGGCCGACATTCGACCGAGCGGATATCCGGAAGCCGCAGCGACCAACGCGGCCGGGAACATTAAATCCCACTCGATGCCGTGGGTACGAAGTCGGATAAGAGGCTTAAGCCGGGGTTACTTTTTATTTGACCGGGCACGGTACACACGGTGCTCGAGAATGACACGAGGTACTCGCGGCAGGGGTACACGCGAATCGACGCGTGTACTCGAGTGCGAGCGCACGCCCGGCCGCGCGCGCGCCGACCTCCTAGGTCATGTATTATGTATTATGTCACGTATTGACTCGGCCGTTATGTAGGCATCATGTATATGTATCGCGTTATCTTTCCGCAAACGCGTATTTACCGCTCGAGCGTGACTTTGTGGCTTACATACGAGCACTTTGTTCCCGCGGTCATGATTGATAAGCGGTCGGCCGCGCCTGAGGGGAATAACGACGTAGCGAAATCGAGACGCCTTTGCCAGGATCTTTTATCGTTACTCCTGTGACCCATTTCTTTTTTAACGCCAAGAAGGAAACTAGACAGGAGGAGAAAGAGGATGAGGCTCTTGGCCAAAAGATTGTCTCTCGCGGCCATGTTGCGGAGCTGTTCTTAAATACAAGAAAATATGCGGAAGTCCCTGGTGCAGATCCTTGCGACATTGATTTTAAAATTGTTGGCACTTCGGTAAGTAATAGAATCCGAGGTGTTCAGATTGAACTGCAGTTAAAAATTGTACTGAATCAGCGTGGGGTGTTCGGGACAATAAAAAATTACTTTTTTTACGGACTCGCTAAGTTATGAAATTAAAGTTGGTGGATGCAATTCGCTTCTTAAGACGTATCGTAATGCAATAACATTCGTTTAGCTGAGCAGATTAGAAATGGATCGCGTAATCACATCGACTACTTTCACAATTTTATCTCGAGTTTTTGAAAGCCTCTTAATCTGCCATATAAAGTATATGTTATGCGTTCTTTAATTATTCCTTTTTCTTTGCATAAAATGTTCCTAGGGGATTTCATGCCTTTCTTTTCTAACATGCCATTTTGATGCAGTTAAGACAGCATTCTATGATTATGCAAATATTTCTTTTTTATTACCTACTTGTGTATGCTGAGTCATTTAAAAATAGTCATCATTTACAAATTACATTTTGCAGAGATTGCTATAATCGGACCAGAATGAAGTTCATTATGCTAAAACCTGATATGTGGTATTAAAGATTTGTGCGTAGCCGCCACGCGGAAGTGAAACTTCTGCCGGTGAGAGCGTAGGAAAGAAAATAGTACTATGATTAAATGAATGGAGGATTAATATTCTAATAATTACAAAGATTTATTTAAATTACCTTATAATATATTTTCAAATTTTTGAAATCCTTAATGTTTATTACACGAAGCAAAACATTTGTTTAATTTCATATGCATGATACAACACATATTTACGGCATCAAGAAATAGGTTATGAGTGGTATAGTACAAACATAATATAAAAAGAGAAAATTATATTTCAAATAGAAATTGGGTAAATTTTGGAACGAACTGAAATTATTTTTCAATATTTGAACCCTCGCTGACTCTGTTTCCCCCTTTTTTTCCCCTTCCCACCCTACTGATAACACGACAACGAAATGAATAGGCAAGTTACTCGTACTTACTTAATATAACTTCTTGCACTCTACGTTTTCTAACTTAATTGGACATTAATAATAAACTTAATTGAGCGCGTTTCTGAAGAAAGTAGTTAACAAAGCGTTTAAGATTTGCTGTTAGCGGTGGAGATTAGTAATGAACATCCAGAAGAGACTAAACTCACCAAAGATAACCAAATGAAGAAAATATGTTGCCAATTGAGTAAACTACCCCGGTGATTGATAAAGCACGTGCATATCGGCTTCGTGGAGAATGCAGTTAATTTTGTGTTCCACCTCTGCTCGAGTGAATGCATCATAAGTTCTTAGTTTATTCGCTACGTGCTCTCCATACACGGTAGCACCGTCTCTTTGTATTCCTACCCCCGTAAATGTCTGGCTTTCCGTTAGAGTTTCATTGATTTGAAACTCGGAAGGTTCAGAGACTGTACTTGACATTTCCAGTTTCGGTAGTGCAATTTGACTTTTGGTGTTGTGAGCCGATTCCGCAGACTGTGCCACATGATGGCTCAGCTCATCAACATGTTCACTAACTGGGTATTCTAATTCCGATGAACTTTCGTCATGAACACTTTCTGTTTTTATGTAAACATTCTCCATCTGAAACGTAAACGTTTTTGTACAGTTAAAATGACTCATATAATATTTATTCATCTTTGTTTATATGTAATTCAAATGATTTCTGAAGTGAAACTTCTTTACAGCCGATAGGGTAAGTCCAGACGATGACTCATCAGAGCATAACGAAAAGTGCAGCGCTTAGGAGTGAACAGCTCGATGGCTACGGTGGGAGCATTCAACGCAGCAGCGGGGAGGGGGGAATATTGAGCACCCCACTCCTCACTCTCGGATAAGTGTCAGCGAAGCGATGCCACAGTGCTGCATTTTCCGTTACGTGAATGAGTCTTGGCATATGCATAGACGATTTCGTCGTAGGTTCCTCCCTATGCTTTATGTATGGTAATTGCACAGGCAGATACCGCATGGAAATGGTTCCATTTAGCCGCAATAGTTTTATTATTATTTAATATTACTCGGTTGGTTGGTATTTCAGGAATCCCTGACGGCACTCTTGCGGCAGCAGCGTTTTTCAATGCCCTCCGTTTCTCCCTAAATTCCCTCGCACGTTGGGCCCCACTTTTAGGCAGTTGTTTCGGTGGCTTGTTTGCGCGTTTCCTTTCGCGACACTCCCTTGAGCGCTCGGTTGAAGTTTTCGGCATTTTTAATTGAAATTTCTCTCAGCTTATCTTATTATTTATTGTGTCCGATTAACCAATCGACTGTCGATAACTATTACACTTGAATAATTCGCTTGAACCCTCACGAGAAAACTCTTTGTCGTTTCTGGCGTAACGGAAAATGCAGCACTGTGGCGTCGCTTCGCTGGCGCTTGCCCGTGAGTGAGGAGTAGGGCGCTCAATATTCCCCCCTTGCCGCTGCACGTTGAATGCTCCCACCATAGCCGTCGAGCGCCCCACTGCTAAGTGCTGCACTTTTCGTTACGCCCTGGTGAGTCATCGTCTGGACTTACCTTACCGGCTCCAATCTCGAAGCAGCGACTTCACACTACCGTGGCTAAAGAAGTTTCGCTTAAAAATATATATATCTCTAAATTTATTGCCGGGCTTTGCAAATTATCGTTCCCAGTCAATAAAGTGCAGACAGGGAATGTGGTAATATCGAATCCACGGCGGTTATTAATTAGAGTCAATGCGAAAACATTGTAATAAAGAATAATCACCGACGCTGAGGAGCGCTGATAATGCCTCATTTGCATATTTCTGCCAAGGATGCTTATAATCGTAGGCCATTACTGATAAGCGGGAGGAAAATGAATAAACCAATCGAGAAATAATATTCGGATTACTACATGAAATTTATTACGATGAAGAGACTCATCGTGTCAAAGGTGAACCATCATCGAGATAAACTCTGTAAAGCTGAAACAACGAAATCTTTCTTCTCCCGGGATTCAGATTTTTCCTCCCGAAATTCAACTGACCACAAAAAAAGCATTTTACTCTCATTCCTTTCGAAATAACAGACTGAATATTCATACCCTAAATTTAACAAAAAGTGATACATTAATCAGCTGTCTTTATCCTTTAAGTAACGACCCCAACATTGAGATTAATACTGGGAGTAAAGAAATATTTGCATTTTTGGTACTATAGCTAAAAAATAGACGTTTTCAATATTCACATAACATTCCAAATCTCAATTGTCGAATTTCTATATTACTTTATTTTCACGTTAAAATCAGCAAGGATGTTATAACACGAAATATTCTACTACGTCAACCTGCCATAAGTATTGCAAGACCTTTGATGCATATACTACAGATCAATACTACCATACTGCAAATATATTGTTTATCGGTAAAACTGTACCCTCACTACATCACTGCTTCGATAACAATATTTGCAAAGTCCGTCGTTCCAAGCCGCTTTGCAAAATGAACAAGATAAAGTCGTTATGTCAACGATATTTCACTCACGGCTCTATGATCAGGTTTTTTGCGATACGCACTTTTTTTCCCGCGGCGCGTTGGTTAATACGTAGCGGCGCTGTGAAAGAGGGATCATTACGCGTAATTAGGAGAGGTCGGCACTTTTATCGACGTCGGCGCGAGGCCATTTTATTGCCGGCAAGTGTCAGCCCGTTCGTCGGCGAGTCTCGAGCGGGTAATAGCGCGTAAGAGGAGAGATTGCCCTCCGAGGCGGAAACGGGAAGTCTCGGCCGGTAACTACGAGGGGAAAGGCCATTTCGCCAGAGATCCGTCCGGAAGACGGACAACGCGTGCACAAGGGGAGACCCGAGGGGACCGGAAAAATCGGCAGACTTGCCACGAGGCATGAGAAATGGACTCTGGAAACGGATCGGCATTCGACCTCGAGGCCTCGCGCGAGGAGGAAGCACCCGCTAGCGCGAGTGCGCGCGAGTGCTCGTAAATCTCTGAAAATGGAATGTACTTAGGTGGTATCGTAAAACAGACTTTGAAACGCATCGCGTCCGCCGAGTCGTAAATCGATGCCGGGCCGCGTTATCTTTATCCGCTATTTTGAGCGATCCAATTTGTTGATTGAGTAACCCGGCCGGCGCGTCGCCGTCGTAATTGCGTTAACATTAAACCGAACCGACTAAATCAATTACGGGCCCGGGCAGCGGCTGCGAGCGGAACTTCCTCCGCGGAGGAGTGGATTTAATATGTCTGAAATTGCGGTGCAAATAAATTTCGTGCCCGCGTAATGAATTGCGATGCTCCCAAGCCCAGAGGATGCGTAGCGGGCACAAGGATTTTGTTTTCCACCCGGCGATAGAATTGCGTTTGCACCTGTATTCCCAGGTGCGAACGCGATTCTTTCCGCAACGACGCTTGAGAGGAGTTTTAATCTTCCGCGATAGGATTACCGTAGGCGACGTTTCTCGGAAAATAAATCAAACCTACGTTTTTTCTCTCGCGAGGATCGACGTCGTTGCTGCCACCTCTGCCTACCTTGAAAAAAGGATGCGAAGCGGTATCCGCGTTTCAATTTCTTCAATCTTACGCCTCCCGCAAAATTTCATAGAATAGTAAATAACCTTCCAGGTTCGGATACGCACGTTTTCAAATTTCAGACACTTCGGGGCACCAGCCTCGATAAACGGTGAAATATTACTCGTAGTTGAATCCGGTATGTCGGCCCTTGAAGTTGACGGTTGAGCGTTACTTCTCAATTCGTTCTGTTCGTTTTCTTGAGTAGTACCCACTTGTGTTATCTCCCCTACACCTTGTTGATTTTCTCCAATTTGGTTGATTTTATTTTCCACGGTTTCATTAATATTCGACTGTGCCGCTTTTTGTCGTGCTCTGTATTCTCGACAACGTTGGAGATTAGTCTTCGGTGGCCGTTTCGGTGGTTTGCTTTTACGTTTTCGCTCGCGATACGCTTTTGCACGTTCCGCTGCCGTTTTCGGAACAGCTAGTTTGAAATGAGTAAGTCCGCTACTGGGATCACGGGGAGAACAAGGCGGCTTGTCACACATATGTGACGGCTGGGAGCGAACGAGTTAGAAATATCAACTTCTTAAAATTCAACTTGTTATTAACATTGACAACACTTTCCGGTCATACCTTTCTCGTTGTGAAAGCAAGGCGCTACTGCTGCGACGCGAAACGGCGTCACGCGCTTGCCTTCCTCCACGAGTTTAGGAAGAGTGGGGCGACGGTATACTATAGTAATACTATACTAAGCGCGACTCGAAATAGCGTCACTCGCTGGCCTTCCTCCGCACGTTCACCCGGCGGGAAAGAGTGGGGCGAGTATAGAAGAGTATAATGTAATATCGAACTGCGACACGAGCCCATCACATTTAATAATTCCCTCCCCCCCCGGATTCTTCATCGTGACGCTTTTTCGTGTCGGAAATTCCGGGACGCGAATTAGGCTTACTACCTGCCAAAAGAAGTTTCACTACAAAACCACTTTCGTCGGTTAACTCGTTGCATAAAACGTCAAACTTCCGTAAAGTCGAAAACGCTCATAAACGTCGCATCGTAAGATTAAGACGAGGATGGGACTAAGTTGGGAATATAACCTTTGCGTAAACGCCAGGCATAAAACTGAACCCCTCTCGCGCGTCGAACCCTCCCGCTCTTCCGGGTGAATTAAAAAAGAAATAAAAACGAAAAAAAAAAAGAAACCCGCCTAGTAAGTAGTTGGCTCACCTGAGTATTAAAGACCCTGGGATGATAAACGCACCGCGTAAAGACGTTCCTTGGCACCTGAGCGGCGCCATTATCACCGATTTGCACTATCGTTATACGCGTCCGGCGTTTAGCCGACGTATTAGCGAGCGACAAGAGGCATCGATTTACGAGTAGTTGCGGAAGAGGCACGAGGAAGAGATCTCCCGCGATCCTAGCTCTTGTAGGTGCGTCTCTGCGAGATTGCACGACGCAAGGAAAGGGGTAGAGGAAAGAAGTTAAGAAATCGATAATCGTCATTGGTTCAGATTTGCGAAAATATTTCTGATGTCTCCAAATCCAGGTTTTCCAACCGTGTCTGCGGGTTTTGCACGACCTAAGACTTGGTGCAGGAGGAACCGAAATCAAGAAATCGGTAAGGGGCGTTAATTGAAATTTGCGGGAATATTTTGGGAATCTCCAAATAGTACATAACAGTCCATGAATCCTTGCCTCCATCTTATGGCAATCCGCTTTGACGAGGGCCGCATGCACGTCCTGCATGCGCCCGCACGCGAGCGAGTCGCGATTACTCGCGCCTCCATGGAACGCGGCGAGCGCGTGCGTATAAGTAGACGCGCGAGGGTGCACGCGCGGCATTCGCGTCGCCGCACTCGACGTATACGGGTGACCGCGCACGTGTGCGCGCCCTACGTACAATCCGTACCAGTCGTGGCGCACACGTGGCCCGGCCGTCGTTAATCCCGTCGTTAATCCCGCCGTTAATGTCGACTCTGCGGCTCCGCACGCGGTGCGGAGGATCCGTGGGAGTGCGCTTCATTGACCGAGACGGGACGCGTCGCTTCCGGTGCGGCCGTTCCGTCAATAGGTGCTGCATCTTGGCGCATCCGTTAGAAGATAAGAATGTGGTAAAGACCAACGAACCCGTTCTCCTTCCGCGGAAGCGGAGCTGGGGTAGACATTTAATCTAAAAACGGAAGACTTCGGAGTATCGCAAGATTCTTTATCCTCATACGAAGCATTGCGCCGAGGGCATTCAATCTTACTCATTCTACGCGTATTCGAACGCCTTCTTAAACACTTTACGGATGAGTCATGACGGACTCGAAAAATCAAGTAACGCGATGGACCGTGTGTTAAAAATGCGTCTCACAACATAAGTACAATAATTTTCATCGATTAACCTGTCAAAGCTGTACAAGAGTTAAGTACATGGTGAAGCCATGAATTTCTCAGTATAAAGAGGTCCGGGTATTAAGGTGAAGTGAAAACCCCTTCAAATCAGTCGATTCGAATACAGCACTTTTTTTTAAGGGTATTAGACCAAACTGTCCGAAACTTTGACACATCACTCCTGATCATCTCATAATTGTCCTGACACATTCAAAATTTAGAATTTTAGAAAAAATTTTTTAACTCAGCCCAGACCAGAACCAAAATGGCGTCGAGCTCTCATATTTCGATCAATATACAATTATCGAAGGCTCTGATATGAGAATCTAAAGGGTCAGGACAATTGTATGACAATTTAGAACACTCTGGTGATCGATAAACTTTGAACGGGATAAAGGCAAAAAAAAGTGTTGTATGCGTTTCTATGCGGAAACGATGAGAATACGAGGTCTCGGAATGAAAATTTAATTGACCTGAAAATCACGGATGTCGCAGGGGGTCCCACTGCAGTTAATTACGCCCCCAAAAAGCATGAATCCAGAGGATTTCTGGAGTTTCACTTCGATTTCTTTATAATTATTGTACGAAAACGACAGGTGGAGTATGCCATTTGTTACAATACCCAATATAATTCGATACAGCTGTCAATATAAAAACGAACGTCGGCAACGTAAGCATTTAGAAAAATCTTCTTTGTCGGCGTCGATCAAGTTCCTCGACGTGTTTCACTTTACCTTAAATGATGCACGGTCAACGACGCGTTCGCTACGTCAAGTAAGGATCAACGAAATTCCTCGATGGATCTGCCGCCTCCTTAATTAATTTAAAAATGATCGCGATTGAAAGCTTCGCATGGCCAATCTGAAAGTCAACCGAAGAAATTTGAATCGGAGAGAAACATGAGGTTCGCAATGCTCGTTAGATCCCTCGGTCTG